CATTCTCTTGGGTTACCATGTTGGTGATTCTGTGCGTATATTATCTGTGTTCGGACCACTGCAGATAGTTAGTCACTACACATGGACGTAAGCAGCCCCACCAAAACCCTGTCTCCTCTCTCAAACAATTAACCTTTATTAATGTAACTCAAGTCTGTTCAATAAATTCAACCTTCAACACATCAAAGCAAATTGCCCAAAGCCGTCTTACCCGCTTCTAAACCACTGACCCTGATATGCTCTGTTGTTTTGCCACATATCGCTGATTATAACGCATCGATTCATCAATGTTTGTCTCTGTAAATAATGCCGTGTTTGTATTATGACTCTTAAAGAATGTCGCTTGTCAGTGCTCAAATTTCTAATTTGCAATGACTCTTTTACGCTATTAATTTTTTTCTATTCTACCCGACAGCAATGGAAGTAATTCGTTCTTTCCCTTGTAAACTATCAATTCTTCTTCCATTAGACATACTAATGGATCTGCAAAAATATATCGTCTAATAGCACAACACTGGTCTATAGAATATTCGAGAGTAAATAATATAAACATGTCTGCATTTTGTAGTCCTTACAGAAGAATTATTCATATTTTGCAACAATACAAAATCAAAGAGAAAAATGGACTTTGTACAAAAAACAGAAGAAATATGTCAGGCTTATATATGCGACAGTAGTTTTTCCCACCCTTACAGAAAAAAAAAAGGTGAAAATTTTAATTTTGTATTTTGTCATTTAGCACCAAGAACATATTTATTATTTTGAGTAATTGAATGACAAAATAGAAAAACATTTAATACAGCGATAATACAATATATTTTTCTTTTACAGAGAGGATCATATATTTATTTGATTTAGTATTTTGTTGGGAAATATTTCTTTAATAACGGCCTTAATTCTTCGTGGCATGCTGTAGGCTAAATTCTTTAGTAAGTCAACGTCCTTTGACAGATTTTTGCAGCACTTCTTTAATTCACGAAAAAGGTCATTTTTCCTATTCCTACAACGCTTGTCCATTATCGTCCAAACGTTTTCAATTGGGTTAAGGTTAGGGCTCTGACTAGGCCACGGGAAGAGTTCCAATTTACTCTCGTCGCGCTTGCTCTCTAGATAACCTTTACTCTTTAAGGCAATATGCTTAGGATCGTTATCGTAATAATTCATTTTTAGACTTGTATAATGTATATATGTACAACTGTGTTAATTCCCTGTAATAATAAACGAATTCAATTTCTCACCTGGCTTGGAAAAATATAAAAAAATCTATTTAAATGCGTGCATCCATTTTTTGCCTCGTACAGTATATATATATATATATATATATATATATATATGTGTGTGTGTGTGTGTGTGTGTGTGTGTGTGTGTGAAGAAAAATATACTGAAAAAACAAACAAAAATCCTAATATGTGATTATGCTGTTTTAATGTTTAATGTCAACGTCAGACGTTTCGGTCTAATAGACCATCTTCAGGACATATTCATAAAACATAATTAACATTGACCATATAAAATTCAAGTATTGCTTTTATGTCCATCGTCTTTTTCATGTTGAATTGTATCCTACAACAATCAATCCAAAAATTGAACGAGAAAATAGCTATAACTGCTATAGAACGATAAATAATTTACTACGTTACTCAAAAATCGAAAACCGAATAGAGTAAATACCACCAAACAAAATAAATATAAGCAAATAAATAAGAAAAAATAAGTAAAATTCCATCCAAATAAATAAATAAACAAATCGCTTCCGCTAAAATAACCGTTAGAACTAATAAAAATAAACATAAATAAGCAAAATCAAGTAAAAATAATCAATCCAAATAAATAAATAAAATAATAAACAAATTAAAAATTGTCCGCCGCCAAAATAACAGAATAGATGACGGCAATCAATCAAAACATTGGACTAATAAATAGCTTTATCTTCCCAGAGAAATCATACTAATAAATAAATGACCTAAACAAATTCCGCCCCGCAATTTTTACTACGTTAACATCGAAAACCAAAAAGAATAAATAAACGTATAAAATGAAAATAAAAACAAGTAAAATAAATTAACTCAAATTAATAAATAAATGAATAAACAAGTCACTCCCGACAAAATAACCGCCAGAATGGAGTACCCACAAGCACCACTGACCCATATATATAAATAGTCGAGAAAAACCTAACACTCGTGGTATGACAATTGCGATTGCGTCTAACATGAAACAGCCTCTGACTGTTGACTTCAATGATCTATATATATATATATATATATATATATATATATATATATATATATATATATATATGAATCCCATCTGTAAAAACACTGCTCGTTTTTTTAGAAAACTGGGCTATATATAAGTGAATACATATAATATACCACATCAATAGCACGACTTATAATTACACAATCATCAGGTACTGAATACCAACTGACCGCTAAGCTTTGTGAAATTCGCGTTTTCGTGGATTTGATTTAAAATCGTCTTAAATCTATTTCATTATATTATTGTTGTCTATAGTATTTAAATTAATTATCAATTAAATTAAGTATTAATATTTAAATTAATTATCAATTAAATTAAGTATTAATATTTAAATTAATTATCAATTAAATTAAGTATTAATATTTAAATTAATTATTAATAATTTGGATCGAAATTATGAAATGGACAAAGTCCGACAATTTTTATGTTTATACATTATTTTTATTTTTATAGAAATATTTAAGTAAACATTATTATAAACACACCATTTACTTAAATATTTGTATCTATAAAAAGAATGCATAAACATAAAAATATCTTAATATATATATATATATATATATATATATATATATATAGAGAGAGAGAGAGAGAGAGAGCATGCATTTTAAACCTAGCCTTATACTTACGAAGGTGTAATTACGTAAACACGGGTGGAAAAATTATATATATATATATATATATATATATATATATATATATATATATACTATGACAACTCAGTCTATCACTCCGTTATCCAAAGTGATTTCACTTGTATTCTATACAAGAAATTGTGCAGATCGGATCTGATTTAATTTTTACGGTTTATCAACAACTTGCGACTCAAAGTAGAAAATATATATAAGGTATTTGGATTAATTGGCTACTTTTTGAAAGTGAATATTTTATTATGGATTTTTGAGAATATCTATGGTTCTACTATTTAACCCATTGCTTTGGGGGAGATTGATGCATGCCATTTCTAAGAATATGTGCGATTAAGTGATTGTAAGGAAAATCAGAGGAATTTGAAATCGATTTTTCCAGCTAATCATTCTGATTCTCTATTCATTACCCAACCTGAATATCCATCACATAATTAATAAGCAGAATTTCATAACATTGGTGATCATGGTCCTCCACAATTTCCTAACTCTTGTAGAACTAAAAACGTTTGACCTCTTATTATCCGTCCTTGTTCATATTCTGAAACATATTTATAAAAGCACGTTAGGTATGTCATTCTCTACTTTTCATTTACACTTGCCTTCACTTTACACTGTGAGTATCAGATTTTCCAAAACCAATTTAATCAGTATATGACTTTTTTAATTTCAACTGTCAATTTCTGATCCTAAGTGACCGTTCCGTTTTCAATGTTGTTCACAATTTGTTTATTTTTTTAATCATTTCATCCCAAGCAAGGCAATAAAGTCACCATAGCGTACGGGACTACTGAATGTTAGAGAATATGAGAAAAATACTATTAATGAGAGAGGACAATGAAAGAAGAAGACAGAAAATAACGATTGACATTACATTTAAAATTTGTCAAGCCTCCTTCTGTCGTACCACATCACTTTTCCTTCTCGTGCCCTATTCACCTGCAAGGATTATTGTCTAGCATTCACTGTCATATAGGAGAATTGATATTACATAACACAAGAGCGCACACTCTTCTTTGTTTCCAAGGAATTTTACACCGACTGAGATTTCAAAAAATTTACATTAAAATAACCTGCTATATATTCTGAAAATTTACTTCACATTTTCAACGAAATATATCTCTTACATAATTTTATTTCTCTAAATTACTGTTTGCGTGTGTTTGTGTCTGCATTATATACATATATTAGAGACGAATAATAATCTAATATATATATATATATATATATATATATATATATATATATATATATATATATATATGTATGTGTGTGTGTGTGTGTGTGTGTTTGGGTGTCGAAATTATCTGAATAAAGAGGAGTGATCAACCATATATGATTAATTGCGAGTACATACAGGTGAGCAAATAACAATTTTATTAATCAATGATATAGACAAAACAGTGCTCAATGTAGTCAAGATATGTAATTAATGTTATGTATATATTAATAATCACACACACACACACACACACACACACACACACACACATATATATATATATATATATATAAAGCATTAATATAATTAGATGGATTAATATAGGTCAAGAATCTATATCTGAGGATTGCAGATCGCATGACAGTCCCAGTGTTTTATGTATACTTTTAAGATATATATATATATATATATATATATATATATATATATATATATATATAGAGAGAGAGAGAGAGAGATAGATAGATAGATAGATAGATAGATAGATAGATAGTAGACTACTTTTGTTTGTTAAGTCATTATCTGTGTTCGTACATTATCTGGGCTCTATCGATTAACGCTTGTGCTCAAGAGAAGCTACACCCGAGCCTTGCTCTTTGACCGTAACAATAATAACGTCTACTCAGCTAGAATGTAGATGTCATTGAATCTGTTGTAATTTTTTATGTACTTGCTTGTCTCATATCGAATGGGTCATTGAGTTAAGAACAGAGACATACTTCTGTTCAGTTTTTTAACACTTCAATGGTGCTTTTAATGGATAACGTGTCGTATTTACCCTCGTAGTCACGAAAGGCAATTGAAACTTGAGGTGAACATTACTGGAATATTGTCTCGATGCACCTAAAACCACATGTTTTTAATACTTA